TGCTGTGGCTGCGGCTGCGGCTGCTGTGGCTGCAGCTGCGGCTGCTGCTGTTGCTGCGTCTGCTGCTGTGGCTGCGTCTGCTGCTGTTGCTCCTTTACTACTACAACTACTGACTGTTGTGTTTGTTGCTGCTGCTGCAGAAATATCTGTTGTTGCCCGAAAGTCTGCAGCAGCGATGGATGCTGCACTTGCAGCTGCTGCTGAGACTCTTGATGCGGTGGCATCAGCAGCAAGGGGAGCTGCGGCTGCGATTGCGGCTGCTGCAGCAGCAGGAAGGGCTGTTGCTGCGCATTTGGTGATGGCTGAGGCGGTTGTTGCGAATGCGGAAACTGCAGCAACACCTGCGGTTGCTGCACGGGTTGCTGCTGCCAATAAGGAGGCTGCATTAGCTGCGGCTGCTGCCAATAAGGTGGAGGCTGCAGTTGCTGCTGCTGCTGTTGGTGCTGTAGATCTTGTCGTTCTTGTTGCTGCTGTTGCTGCTGTTGCTGGAGTTCTTCTTGCTGTTGTTGCTGTTCGTTTGCTTGTTCTTGCTGCTGCTGCTGTTGCTGCTGTTGTATTTCTTGCTGCTGCTGTTGTTGCTGCTGTTGTTGCTGCTGCTGCTGCTGTTGCTGCTGCTGCTGTTGCTGCTGCTGTTGTTGCTGCTGCTGTTGTTGCTGCTGCTGTTGTTGCTGCTGCTGTTGTTGCTCGTCACTCTGCTGCTTCGCTGGGGACGAAGCCCCATTGGCTGCCGGCGTTTGGCCGTTCTGCTTCGTTGGTGTTCCTCCATTCGCTTCTTGCTGCTGCTGCTGCTGCTGCTGGTGCTGATCGTCTGGCTGCGTTATATGCAGAAACAGCAGCGCGCTAGCAGCCGATGATACTGCTCTAGATTCCTGCTTATGCTGCAAACGAGCAGGCAGCCGCACAGGACGCCCAGACCCTTCCGCAGCAGCAGGTGCAGCAGCAGGTCTAGAAGCAGCAGGTGCAGCACCAGGTGCACCAAAACGCGCAGAATCAGCTGGAGGGGGGCGCACAGCAGCAGGTGGAGCAGCAGGCGGACCCCTAAAGGGATCCGTCGACCAAGTGGACGAGTAGTGGGTCCATCTTCTTCCACCTGTCCACTCTTCCTGTTGATACAGTAACTGCTGCTGCTGCTGCTGCTGCTGTCGCTGGAGCTGCTGCTGCTGCTGCTGCTGCTGCCGCTGCTGCTGCTGCTGCAGGAGCCGCTCCCTTACGGTGTCTCTGCGCGTTGTTGGACGGCCACCTCTCGGTCTCTTAGCTTCTGGTTCGCCGCTGCTGCTGGTTCTGCTGTTTCTGCTGTCTGCAGTAGAGGTGCTGCTGCGATCACCCCTGCTGCTGCTGCTGCGATCGCCCCTACCGTTGCCGCCGCTGCTGCGTCCAGGCCTCCCTCCTCTCCTTCCTGTTAACTGTGTATCATCTCTCTGGGGGCCCCCCACCCGAGAACCCCTTCCTCTTCCCCTCCTTTGGGACCCATATGCACCTGAGCTATCGTGTGCACTCTGCCCAGCAGCAGCAGCAGCAGCAGCAGCAGCAGCAGGAGGTGAAGTCTGTCCTTCATCTTCAAAGGGCTCTGTGGATTGCCCCTGTGAGGAAGATGCAGCAGAAGATGCATCAGTTGATCCATCATCGCATAACTCAAAGGAAGCTCCAGAAGAAGACGAAGCACCAGCAGCAGATGAAGAAGTGTGCGGCTTTTCTTTAGGATTTCGAGCAGCAAGCCGACGACCAGTATGCAGCTGATGTACCTCTCTGCAGCGGGAGATAAGGAATATGATTGTTAGAGAAGAGACGAGGGCTATAATAGATAAGAAAGATATAGAGCGTAAGAAAGAAGTACTGTGCTTCTTACTTTTTAACACATTACGCTTAGGAGCACTTTCATCATAAAATGCTGAATGCAATGCAGCTGCTCCTGTTCCGCTGCGAGACGGCTGCTGCGGCCAGCCGGAACGACTAAATAAACTAGTATTCAAATCATCTCCAATTAAAGAGGTAGAAGAATCTGTAGAAAGATTAAAGAAAGGTCTCTGTACAGAGGCCGGCGTAGTTCCGGGCACTGCTGCTGGTGAAGGGAGGCCCATTTAGAGGAAGTAGAAGAGCAAGAAGTAGGGTAAGAAGGTAAATAACAATAAGGATAGTTATTACTAGCTACAGTATTCAATAAGTAAAGAAAAATGCCTTTCTTTCGATCCAATAAACAAAGAAAACATCTGCAACAACAAACAAAGAGAAGAAAATCCACCCGAAAAGGCCCCTTTTCTTAACAATGTCTGCAAAGGAAGCTATGCAGAGGCAAGGAATAATGGAGAAAAACAAAAAAATATATACTTTCATATGAATAAAAAGAATTTAAACATAAAATGCCCTTATTTTACCCACACTCAGAGCCAAACAAAACTCAAAAAGCAGCAGCGCTATACAACTTGCGCAGCACCGCCGGAGCTGGGGGCTAATACGTCTCTTGTTGTACATTTCAAAGAATATCTTCTTCAGTTAAATTTCATTCGTTTTAAAACGTTAAGTATATTTATTTAAACGCAAATATACCTGTAACTTCAACGAATATTCGCTGAAAATATCTATGCCCGATGCCCTCAAGCATAAAGGCCCGATGGACCGATGAGGAAGGAACCTTAACAGTGGCATTTCTATCATATATTTAATAGAAGTTAATTCTATATATTAATGCATGCATTAAGGGGAATTATGACTTTTTAAACAGTTACATAGAGGCTGTTTAAGCGATCGCTGCTTGCACACAAACTTCCTATAACAATAGGAATGTGGGGTGGTTCAAAAGCTGCACTGGTTGCAGCAAACAGCGTTAAAACTAATATATTTTAGCGTATTCTTCATATTAGCATTATCCATTAAGACTATTATGCCAAGACAGCCTAGAAACTAGAAGGAAGTATAACTCTTGTGAAGGAAACACAAAATTCTTATTCATTTATATTGCTATAAGGCGATCCTACCCTATATATCGAGCAGTCTTCATAGGCTGTTATGTATGCTTGCTTTTCTTTAACTATCTGTCTTCACAGGGGTGCTTATACCTCAGAATGCTTAGCGACACTGTCCCCAGATTGTCAGATTGTCCTATAGAATATCCCCAATCTATTTAAGCCCCGAGCTTGAAGGATTCGCAAGAAAGCCTCTTCCCTCTATCAAAATTACCCTTCAATAAGTGAAAACTTAAGATTTCAGATGTTATTTCTAACTCAAAATCAAAGAAAACCCAACACAATACTGTTGTAATGGATTAACCTGTCGCCTAATCTTCGCGAGACGGGCGGTCCAGCACCCCACACAATCGAAGAAGCACTTTCTCTTTGATAAAGTAACAGCCGTTTGAGTATAAAGGAAGTGAATGAGAAGGTGAAGGAGCTGAGACAGACAGATGTGCCATAAGATATGCTAAAGAGACGCAGGCGTAAAGCTTCCTATAAAGAAAGATAAGGTGGAAACTATGAAACCCAAACTAAACGACTTCATCGGTTTGCTGCAACGAGGAGTTGTAACAGTCTCGATGGACTAAGCACTTGGATTAGGCTAATGCACAGTTGTTGGTGTTAGAAAGACCTGCTTTCACCAGTGCCGCAGATGTAAGACCCGCATTGGCTAGGTTTGCTTCGGGGCGTCGCAAGTGTAGTTGTAGTTGGGTGTTGCGTTGATATTCATGAATTAATGCCAAGCAAGCATCGATAGATTGCCTGTCTCCCCCCTATCTTGATTGTCAATCGACAGGTGTGGGGCGCCCTTTAGCGTCGTGTCTCATACCTCCACCTTTATTAGACGTTATCTATGTTCGCTGTAATGCTTCATTTCGCGTAGAGCACTCTCCCGTCTTGAGTGTCAATTAACCCTTTATTCAAAACCTGTTTTCTTTCTCCTCTCGGCGTTTGTGTGGGTTGAATCTTTCACCAATTTGTTGCATTAGACAGTGCCTGCCCCTACTCACCGCTACACATCCCTTAATATCATACTGTATCATTACCGGGCTTCCAATACTGCGTCTCTCGTTCTTACAAACGATTTCGATGCTGTCGCAACCTCTCGCCAGGACATATAGGTATATAGACAGAGGTAAGGTAACGTCTCGCGGCACATTAGCCTGGAAAAGCCCCACTAGGTCTTTAGGTTGCAGGGGTTCTCCCTAACTCAAGACCAAAGAGAAGTCAACAGACTACAGTTGTACGGGATCAATCTTTCGGCTAACCTTCGCGAGACGGACCGTGCTGCAACATCCCACAGAATCTAAGGAGCACTTCTGCTGTGATACAGTAACAGTCCACCAAACGCTGAAAGTAGATTCCTACATATAGAAGCAGTAGTAGTCTACGGCTCTCCCGGTCAGATGCCTGCTCACTTCGACTCCTCACCTGTTGCTTGGTATACCTGCATCCTCTCAGCCCATCTGCTATATGCGCAGAAATGCCCTCATGATATTCTTGACCTCGGGGGCTATATAAGGGTAGCTCTTCGGTGCTGAGCTGCTATCGGGCTCCTCGTATCTGGGGTTGAAGGCTGGGGTTGCGGGTTTTTGAGGGGCATCATAGCCTCGACCGTGTGGTAGCTCCCTTGTTTGCAGTGAAGGTGCCGCTCTGTTGAGGGAATGGGTATTTCCTGTTTGTTTACTTCCATCTCGCTTTCTATCACGTGTATTGATCTCTTCTTCTCCTCCCGGGGCTGTCTCTGTTGTCTTCGGCAGCTTGACTTGAATAACAAATAAGGATCACCAACGTCCCCAGTCGAAGACTCAACATTCAACGCAAGAGGTCTCGGGTTCTAATATCCTCCAGCAGCCCCCACACGTAGTGAACAGCCCTACATGCTGCTAATACTGCTAATACTTGTTTACCCTATCCTTATCTACCACGTGCACACTCAATATAAGAACGCTACACACGGCGCATTATCCTTAGTTTAACACAGAATCTCAAAGAACAGTCTCTAATTCATATCCAAGCCTAATCTTCCTAGGGGAGGAAGAGTAAATATAATCCTGTCTTCCAGCTGATCCCTTAGAGGGTCTGCCCCACGACTTTCTTGTAAGTGTCAGGATTGCTGCAGAGCATTTTTTGCCTGATGGCCTTAACTGCAGTTTAAAGTGGCTTGATTCATTTCTAATAAGATGGTCCTTGCATTAATTTCTCCGGATGGACCTCTAGAGGTTTCAACAGTGTATCGTTGCCTTGGCATTCCAGAGACGCCGGGCTTTGTAGGACAACGCTTAGATGGATCTAGCACCTAATTCTACAATTAACCCTTTAAAACGCTTTTGTAGACACCCACACAATCCGTGTGAGTGCGCAGAGACTCGAGAAGCTTCATAGTTGCGTACTGCCTCACAACTTGGCGCCTGTGAGAATTGCTGTCTGCACTCCGGCACTTCGCTTGTTTGGCTAAAGCTGAGAGCTGAGAGGCATGTCTAATTCAGTCGGAGTACTGCAGTTACCTATGTTTGTACTACTCTTTTAATTTAACTTCAGTGTATATGGACTAGAACTCGCTTAACCCCTCACGCTATCCCCTAAGCATTAATCCACAGCATGCAAGTGGATCGGCTCTGTCAGGAGCTAGTATTCGAGATAACCATCTCCATGCTTCTACTCAGCCCCAAAGATGCACCTGCAATGTCTTAATTGCCGTTGCCTCCTTGTCTTCCGCTGACCTAAGAAAAGTTATTATCCTCCGCTCCCTCTCAAGCCAGACCTCCTCTGGGGGACCAGTGGGGCGCCACACCGAGTAGCAGAGCTTAATCACCGCGAATGCTCAGCCAACCGTTGGCCGCATTATCACATTAGCCTCTCTAATGTCTTACATTATACACTAAACTTCGAGAATACGAGAAGAGCGCTAGCAGCTGCGCAGACAACATCAGCAGAAACAGGCAACTGGAGCTTCTTGCGGAGCTCAAAAGGCGCTTTATCCAGTGAGGGATTTATATTTTTGAAAAATAAGGGCCGTTCCGGGAATTGAACCCGGGACCTCTCGCACCCAAAGCGAGAATCATACCACTAGACTAAACGGCCGCTGCCGACAGCCCTATTTGTAGGCCACCGTTTTGCGTTGACCACCACCCAGTATTCATTCTAAGAGTGTAGATCCTTACTTGTTACTTCGCAGCTACGGAAAATAAATACCCAACCCCAACTTTGACGTTCTAACTCTTATGTGGCTAGACAGAAACGCGTCAGCATTACATTTTGACACAGACATACTCTCTGAACATCAAGAGAAGTAGGCTGCTGGGGAAAGGAAGCTTTCTAAAGCCTTCGGGAAGCAGGGCATAGCGCGAAAGTGTTTAGCAGAATTCGAGGTAGGCTTTTCATTAGGATTTAGGGTTCAGGGTTTAGGGTTTAGGGTTTAGACCGTGCACGGGGAACGTGGGCTGGAATGGCCTTTGCGTGTGGGGACGTAGGATGGTTTAAGGTTTAGTTCGTTGTGAAGTAGGGAAGCCAAGTGCAACAAAGAATGAAACACACACAAACACAGACACGTACAGTGCCCGTAGGTTTGAATAAAGAAAGCACTTTGTTTGGCGAAGCTCGTGCTGTTGTCATGCCTTGAAAACTGAATAATTCGGGGTAAGCGAGAGTGAGTGCTTTGATGCAAGCAGTAGACTAAACCTTAAGTAATTATCAAACTAAGTGGCAGCACTATAAGATATTCTATCGGCCGTCTTTAAACTTTTTTCTGTTCCCGAAGACTGATTCTTTCTCTGAATTTTATAAACGATGGTGGCACACGGATGCAAACAGCGGTGCACGATATGCAGTGCTTCCCTAATATCTTTGCATTTCTTCCCCTATTTACTCTGCACTGCTTGTGGGGTATATGAAGAGTATCTGCATGTTTAGAGATATCCCGAACCCTTTGTTTAATGCAACACCGCGAGCTCTAGGCCCTACGAATCTGGGGGCTATGAGCCGCTTACTCTCCCAATAAGCTGCTGCGGTATCATTTAACATTCAACCATTCATTCATTCATTTATTCTTCACTTTAAAATATTTTCAAAGCAACGTTTAGTTCTTCTTTAGTGTATGTACAGAACGCCTTCTTTGCTATTGTTTCTGTAATATCTGTAAATATCTTGAAAATATTTGTGCTCGAATGCAATTGGGTATCTGTGAAGAGCACTGAATGCTGCAGGAATTCAAAGAAGCATTTACTGTTTTTTCTTTGTTCTGCATGCAGCTAGGTCAGTAGCCGGCTCTTCAATTAGTGGTGAAGAGCATCAGAAAAGCTAAATGCAATCTAAGAAAACTTCGTGCAGCAGAACTCAGCCATACTTTAATTGAAAATACAAAATACTGAGAAACTTCCTCCTTGCAATATATACCCCTTTCTTGTTCTGGGCGCCCTTGAAGAAGCTTCATTCAGCGCTTCATTCAGTTGCTTTGGGGTAATTCGATGTATGCATATATATATATATATATATACATATAGATGTATACATTTTATCTATACATATAATATAT